CCCGGCCTCAGCGCACGCTAAGCCGGGGCTTCAGCTCATGCTAACCCGGCCTCAGCTCACTCTATCCCGGCCTCAGCGCACGCTAAGCCGGGGCTTCGGCTCACGCTAACCCGGCCACAGCTCACTCTATCCCGGCCTCAGCGCACACTAAGCCGGGGCTTCGGCTCACGCTAACCTGGCCTCAGCGCATGCCAAGCCAGGGCTTCCCCTCACGCTAGGCCACTGTGTTTTTCGTTGTGAAAGCGAAACTACTTTGTTTGGTCTTCCAAAAGAGGACACGACTACAAATCAGTTGTATTTACAACACTGTTCCAGAGTAGTTTAACCCAAATATCCAGATGTGTGCAGCACATTTTATGGAGGACTGTTTACTGATCCTGGGAGAGTAACGTTAGACTAAAATGCGGCAGTTCTGACTCACAGTCTGTAAGTACGTTTTCATTTAAAGAATTTGCCACTGATGATTCAAAACACGAGTTTTGGGCAGTAGAGTAGCTCTTGTTGTTTGTCATTTCTCTGATCACAAATGCAGACAGAGTTTTATGTTTACGCCGCGCGATGCAATGCAACAACGTGTAAAAAGACAGTATAAGTCATTATAATCAGTAATTATGTCCCCACTGGATGCAACAAATGCCTCGTTTGTAATGGGTTTTAATGTTTTTGTCTCGTCGCTCCGCCCGGACAGGGCATTACAGTATGGTGAGGGGCATAACATTTCCGTCTCACGCTTGAGGTATTCGGCCAATAACAAGGCATTGGATAGCTGGCCAATCACAGCACACCTCGCTTTTTCAGCCCGATGAGCTTTGTAAAAATCGACGCGTTTCAAAAGGCGGGGCATAGAGGAGAAACATTAATGTACATTATGTGGAAAATAATGTGTTTTTTTTACTTTAAACCGCATAAACACATTTCATTACACCAAATAATGTTCTTTTTAGCATCATCATATGACCCCTTTAATTATTTTGTCAGTTCGTACCCTGATTAAATCTCTGTCCTGCAGTTAACCTACAGCTTCTTACCTTGAGGTTCAGGGGGTTGACTATGTTGTGGGTGGTGCAGTTAACAGGGCCCTCCGTCGTGACCTCCAGCGGGTAAATGAACCTGTTACTTTGAAGCCTCATGGGGCATTTGAGCTGCAGTAGAGTGTGACTGATGCGGCTCGGCCCGTTGTTCACCAACTGAGAAAGAGAAACGGACAGAGAAAGAGAGATATGAGTCAAGTGTATGTTATGTCATAATCCTCTCAACCACTTCAGTTTAAAAACAAGGCTGCTGCTTTGTCATTTTCACGATTACATCATATGCCATCACAACCACAAGATTAAGTTGTGCTGCTAAAGCAACTCCACAGGTGTTTCTGTACTTTCTGGTCATCATAAAAGGATGGTTTGATGCCTTGTGCTATTTCAGGACCTCTGTGTAGCTTTTGGAGATTCTCCATGACAACCTCTCCATGTGCAAGTTTTGCGTGACTCATCAGCAAAACCCTAACAGAAAGTATGTGTCATATATAGAAACCAAACTGCAAGCAGCAATTAGCGGAACTGACCGACATGAAATGGACTTAGTGACTTCTGTGTTCATTTCATAAAATGTAAATTAATTTAAAAAGATCTCTGATTGTACAATCACAAATTGCATACGAACACGTTTTCAATGAAGAAATAACATTTGACTGTCTATGGTGTTGCATTGACAGTCTTTTTTATTTATATACATTTTATTTTTGCTTGTAAAAAGAGAATGAATGAATGAATGAATGAATGAATTATATGAGGAGTTCATGAAAAAGTTTACCTAAAATTATTTGAAGTCTCTAGCTCAAAAAAAAAGCTGGCAGGGCTAACATTTAAAACACTGCAAATGTAACTGCTAGTTGCTAGGCAAAACCATACATCCCATAATTACACCACAGGAATATATAGCTTTTACTATGGATTCCTATCAATGACAGTCCTTCTCTGACTTCAAGTCCAACTGAACAACTCAGACAAGGTCTTTACCTCGTAAGTGTGCTGGACTGAGGGTCCGACATCCTGTTCAACCATCACATTCTTGGTCAACTTCCAGTTCGGTAGAGGAAAGAAGACCTTGTCTGGTCGGGAGACACTGTAAAATGAGAGATAAAGAGAGACGAGAAAATGAAAACCGGGAGAGTTTCCTAGTGAGAGTTCTAGAAGAGCGGTGGTCTTGTGAAGTACATATAAATGGGTTCTGCATGTGAACTCACCCCTGTAGAATAACATCTGACCGGACCACCACCTCCAACTTGTAGGGAACCACTTCACTCTGGGAGTTATTCTCATTCTTACTGTAGATGGAGAGATGGAGAGCTTATTAAAGAGCATACTAAAGCCTCTTTAAGGGCATGTGCAACTAACCTAACCATATATTTAAGATGCATGAAATATCAGGGACCATAATATTCTCACTTATAATTAAAAATGTATATGATGGCCAATATGAAATACATATTTAAATAAATAAAAGTAAATCATTACATTTTGTATTGGCAATCGTATATTTTTTTTAAATATCAATAAAAAAAAGTTTATTTCTTTATATAAGATTTCCTTTTTATATATTTATTTCTTTATACATTTCTTATTTATAAAAATAAAAAAAAATAATGCCAATTCAAACAATGATATGTTTTCTATGCAAAAGTACTAAACAGTTATTTATGTTTGCTACAGTATAGTTTAATTGTCTATAGATAATGTGAATGTTTATTTTTAAAGACACTTAGGTAAAACACCATAAAACAAAAAACACATTAAAGCTGTGTGCACTGGTTTCAAGTTTCATACCTACGTATCTGAAGGTCAAACTGCACAAATGTGTGTGTGTCCTTGAGACGTGGTACTGTGAATCGCAGTCCAGCCCATAACTGAAAATATAACAAAATAATTTATTTTAAATAATTCCAAACTCACTTCCTAGAAATACATATACATGCATATTTCATTAAATCATTTAAACACCCCAAAAATGACAGAAATACAAGCAATTTCTCATAAAGGAGCCAACAATATTAGCAATGCCACAATACTGAAAATTCAGCTTTCCAAGAATTACACCAGAGAATTCTTTACAACACACGAATTCCCCATAATGCACTGCCATAGCAACGGAATGGATGTTGAAATCGGTGGAATGTGCCTTTCCTGTATTCCATCCAAAAAACAAAAGTGGAAACACTAAAATGCATTCTCTGTCATTCATCTCAGTGATGTCATGTTTAGGTGTACTGACAAAAGCACTCCACTTAGTTAATGCCCTAAAATGCTAAAGTCACCTACCCAACCCCAGGCTGTATGGGAGTTCCAGCCTCCCTTTTATATTTGTGGTTTTATGCTCCCACCGCATGCACACAAACTCTAGCAATAAGACCCCATACGAGCAGCTATAATTTTCCCTCAACTCAGTGTGTGAGAGTTCGGGTGTCCATGCACGTGTGCGTGGTTGTGACTTCTGAACTTCTCATTGCATGAGATACAATTACACATACAGGCCAAGTTGTTACGAGGAACCTCTTTGGTGGTCCTGGAATCCAAAAATAATGAGCTAAAATAGCGTTTATAATAAAATTGCTGAATAAAACACCCAGATAACCTGCCCTGAACTAATGAGAGCAGCGTTGCATCGACTAAAAAAATAAACAGGGTCTGGAAAGACATAGACAGGGAACAGTTTGAACAGTCACCCAATTATACTCCATCTCTGCAGACACATTAAAAAGCCAAATTTTCCCTCAACTCAGTGTGTGAGAGTTCGGGTGTCCATGCACGTGTGCGTGGTTGTGACTTCTGAACTTCTCATTGCATGAGATACAATTACACATACAGGCCATGTTGTTACGAGGAACCTCTTTGGTGGTCCTGGAATCCAAAAATAATGAGCTAAAATAGCGTTTATAATAAAATTGCTGAATAAAACACCCAGATAACCTGCCCTGAACTAATGAGAGCAGCGTTGCATCGACTAAAAAAATAAACAGGGTCTGGAAAGACATAGACAGGGAACAGTTTGAACAGTCACCCAATTATACTCCATCTCTGCAGACACATTAAAAAGCCACAGGTCCCTCCACCTTCACACAGTGGCATTTTGGAGAGGGGAACTCCACTCTCTAAAGGGGTACAGCCAAAATGACTGTCACTTCCTGCATCACTGGTGGGGACTTCCTGCTTGATCCAAAACAGCCCTCAACAAACCCCCCAGACAGCACTACGAGCCAACTAACATTTTTCTAGGCATTTGTGAATACTGGAAAAGGATAACTGGATAATTATAAATTGTTTTATAGAGACCGCACACACAAAAAGCAATTTCTAGTCAATGAAAAATGTAAGAATTGAACAAAACTATAACTACATATACTATATCAGTAGATCAACATATGTATAGATCGGCAGATAAAGATTCATCTGTTGATGAATCTTTATCTGTACTTTCCATGACTTCATAAGATTCTACTCATTTCCATGACTCAAAAATTCAAAACTCAAAATTCTCAGACATGCTAGAAAAGCAGTAAGATTCAACTGCACTTGATAAAAGTGTGTGTGGAGAGTGTTAGGTGCTTACGCTGGTGCCTGATTTCATGGGGTTCCCCAGGTCACAGCTGAGGTAGCGGGTCTGATTTTCCGTCTCATAACTGCAGGTCAGTTGGGCCAGGCTCTGTCCAGAGAAACAGAGAAAAAGACCAGTACATTTCGGGAAACACACACACAGAATGATAACTCATACCCCTGACTCATGTCTTGACCTGCTTAGACCAGTTGTGGTACTTTTGCTGAATGTTAAATTTTTTTTATCTAAATTATCCTTACACGGCGTTACGGTTCAAAATAAGCAATTCATTAAAACAGGAGTTAATCCTTTGTGATTCCCAAGATCCTCTTGCAAGGGACCTTCTTCTTAAAATGTAAAGTATTCTATATATTTTCATATATAAAGACCAATTTATATTGTATAAGGAAAGGATATTATAAAGACACGTTGCTTACAAAGTCAAATAATTGGTTTCTACATTGTCATTGTACTAAAGCAAAAATACTTGTATTTATTATGACATTTATTTGAAGCAAAAATATTATTCTAATTGTTTATCGTGATAAAAATAGTTAGTAATTTAGTAAATTGTTATTTTTTTCTTTTCAATTTTCCATGGACCCCAAAACCACTGCATTAAAATGCCGAACGCTGAGGATTTCTCATCACATGTCTCCATTAATAAAAAAAAACACGTCTTCTCTAGAGTATCAAAGTGACAGAACAAAGGTCTTTCTCAGCTGAAATGCTGAACACATGTAGGAGTTAATGGACGGGGTCTGGCACACGTCCGTGTAATAGGCAGCACGTGGAGGTCTCCATATCTCACCTCGTTATTGCGGGCTATTCCGCTGTAGTCGGCCTCTGGTGGCAAGACCACATACAGTTCGGCTTCGTACGCTCCGCCTCCATCGTTCTTTGCATTGAAAGTCAGTGTCAGAGAGTTGTCATCGCCCATGTACACTTCCTTCCTGTCCCTGAGGAACCAAAACGTGAACAAAACATAAAACTCTTCCATTGGTGGCTAATTTACTTTCTACAGGGTCAAGAGCAAATATACAAATTGTACTTTCAGACACAAACACTGTTTAAGTCAATGCATTAACAAACACCACTAACTGGCCATTTAAAACCTGTGTAGTAGTTTTTATACTAGCTCTAAAGTATTAAGCACACAGGACATTGACTGTATTCTGATCTAGCAGTAAAATATCACTCGGACCTTTCCAACAGGAAGCCCTTCCTCCTGCATTGTACACACATTTCCTATTAAAAACCCCTAATTTCCATTGTAGCTATAAAGTCGAACATGCAACGACAAAGATTGTGAAACATTCCGCAAAGTTCCCTTTTTTTCTATTCCCTCGTGTTCCCTTCCCCTTTTCTTTTCTCTCTACATCTCAGACACAATGAGAAATTCCATGAGAGGGCCACACAGACGCTTCCAATTACTGCCTGGCCTCGTAAACCCATGCTGGGGAAGCGGCATGCACAGAATTCAAACGCTGGCACTCGGCTGGTGAGGGACTCGAACCTATGCGGAAGCCAGTGCTTGCTGCACTTTCATAACAAACCCCTCCAGATGGCACATATTGGTTGGGTTCATGTCACAAGGAGGTCATGATTTGCATTCAATGGCTACTCAAAATAAATACCGTGATCTTTACAACAAATGAACACCGGTAAGTTCTAATAATTACTTGGAAATGATTTAATATAAAAGTGAATTTGACTGAAACCTGGACCTGGGAAGCAAATGCTGACAGCTGTACTAAAGAATAGCCATGCTGTCCGAGGCGTCCCTGTAAAGTTTTCCTATAGAATAACGCCTCGAGTGAATTTCCAAGACATACTATTCCCTCTGTTTGTTGGATGACGAGAAAATCCAAAGACTCTGTGGAGATAATTAATGCCCTCCACAGTTTAATAAATATGTGGCCTAAGACAAATGCAACAAATCTGTAAGGTTTTTGGTAAGGCATATTTTTGCAGTCGAAGTATAACAACAGATACAAACAAACCGGTGTATAAAAGAGAGAGAAAATACTCACAGATTTTACAAATCAACTGCAGGAAAAAGGGGGCCACAGTTTTCCAAACTTATCTACTTCATCTATGCAGTTTTTTTTCCACAAGCCAAGTCAGCCAATCCCAGCACCTGTTGCATAGCCCTCCTTCCTGTTTTTTTCCTGTGTATCTATGCATGTGTGTGTGTGCGCGCGTGTCACTAATCTCACCTGGGAACACTCTGTCCATATATTCACATATATGAATATGAATCACATATATTTATCCAAATATCTAATCTAAACAGTAGCTGGAATTAGCATTTCTCATGCCTAAAATAGTTTTACTTCAAACGTGCCTTTGCTGCAAACTTTGCAACAAGCACACTAAACCCAAGGCTTTTATTTCTTCTTTGCATTCCTTGCTAATCATCTTACCCATGCACAGAGAGTTTCAGGTCAGGGACGCAGATGTTGTCCTCTCCGCAGTCCAATAAAATCTGGGCCTAGAACACAAGCCAGAAAAACATTAAGTTAAGTTACTGAGAGATTATAGTCATCAATTTCCAACATATTTCAATTTCAGAATGTGACTTATTTGAGGGACACAGGGAATTATATGAGAAAAAAAGATCTCCTGGGACCTGATTTTATATTTAAAGGAATTTACTGGATGGTGAGAAGTGGGCATTGCATACCAAAATGAAGCCAGACAGATCTACAATTATATGCAAATGCAAAGACTTATTTTTTTTCCAGATCTATTAATTTATTTCATAATACATTAAAAATACAATTCATGACAATAATGTTTTTAATTTCTGAATTAAAATTCATTTTTATAAATTGGTGGGAGGCTTAAATGTATTTAAAAGAAAAGCTTTAGAAATTTGCCATAATCTACAACAACAAATGTTATTTTTTTAGAAAAAAAATTAATTCAGCATAAAATAAATCAATTATAATATTTTTAGAGTAGTTAAATGTATAAATAAACAAACAAAAGGGTAAAAACAGAAGGTTAGCCATTCATTTACGAGCAATATGATCTAAAAAAAAAAAGAACTTGTCTGAGATTCTCCAGTCATTTTCTTAATCATATGAAGGATACCACCTGTAGGCGTCAACGCCCTGATAAGCATACTTTTAGACACACTTCCCAGAAGCAGCATCCCAACTAAACATCTCTAGGCACTTTACACAGGGAAAACCTCCAATAAACCTTTACAAACTGCTATGAAATTTCAACCTACTTACACTATGAAACCATTTACAAACTCCTACAAACAGCTTTTTTCAAAAAAATCCAAGCAAAGCACTCGTAAGAAATTTGTAAACTACAGACAGCAGCGCAACTGCATTATAAACAGTGCGTTCGGTTAGGTAAAGTATTAGCGCATGACCATGTCAGACAATATTGACGCCTAATACACCATCGTACAAAATGAATATAAACATTACCGTTTACACGGGTAAACACTCCTCAGCCTAAAAAAGATTAGTAAACACTGCTGGTTTGAAGAGCAGATGTGTACAGGCTTCAAAAAACATATAGCGCTCACTTGAAGGGATAAACAGCTATGGTTGTACCCATAAGGCCGTTCTATCTGTCACCAACATCCACATCAGAGGCTGCCGACCCTGAACCGCATGCTAGCTGCACGCGACACCACCCAACTCTCACCACACACACACACATATATATATATATATCTCACATAAAGCACACCCATTAATGAGAGAGTATCCGTATACAATGTATGAAAGAATCTAAAACAAAGAAATGGGGAAAGTGGTGCCGTGGCAAATTGCTATCACCTGATGCCGTGTTTCTAACATGTGCGAGGATGACGCAACATGACAATGAGGTTAAGAAAATAGAATAGGGAGATTAGAAAGGGCAAAGTGGCTTCCCTGTAATCAGCAGTTGCTGAGCTCTAATTACAACCGATGAGGGCAGCCAGCCCTTTCCATAGCTCTGTATCGGGCTGCTCCGAACCTCCTGAAGAGGGTTGTTTGGGATCACTGGAGCAGCCAAACAATTAGAAGCCCAAGCGGAGATAAAAGAGAGGGTCACATGTGCATATGTCCAAGTTGATCCACAGCCAAAACCACCATAAAGTGTTTACGGAAGTGTCAAGGTCTGAAAACAGCATAATTGGGTCAACAAATGGGAGGGCGTCAGGCGGGATCACTCACAACATTTATCAAAGGAGCTCCAAAACATCTCAATCTAAAGGCGAAATGAATACAGAGCATCACATCTGTAGTCCCTTGAAAGTAAAGACCACGTATAAGATTATTCATTTATTCCACTAATTCTTAAAAAAAGAAAGGTCTTTGAAGTTTGACAATCTATTATTTTTTTATTAGGAAAATAATTGAAATAATAATACAATTATTTTTCATTATTGTTATAATTTGCTTTAAATATTGTGTATATTTATATAATATTTGTACTTGTATTAAATATATTGTGTATTATATAAAATATATTGTGTTGCTGTTATTATTATTATTATTATTATATGACTTACTCGAACACATTTATATATTTATATCATATTTATATGATAGTATATAATTACATGTTTATATAATATTAAAAAATATAAAAATATTGTTAATAATAATTATTTTATTTTTATTTAATTATTCTAAGAAAATTGTTGATATTTTTATATATCATCTATACTCTATAAAAATATAAGTTACTTTAATAATAATAATAATTTATTATTATTATTATTAAGTTTTTGTTATTTAAAACAGTATGTTTTTTAAACAATATAAAACCAATGTGAACACAAAAAGTACATTTCTAAAAACTTGGCACGTGTTTTTAAATGACTTAAATTAGAATTTGTTTTTTTTTTTATCATACTTTTAAATTATTTTCTCTTCCTTTATAAAGAAGACTCATTTATCATGAATAAAAGGGCTTCCACTTAGTTTTTTGGCTTGAATAAGTAGAAGTTTAGAAGATAATTCCATCTGCAATGTTTCCAAGACCTCTGATTAGAATGATTCTGCATATGGTCAGTGCGGCCCATGTGTTCGGCACGGTCTCAATAACTACTGAGAGAAAACTACCACCCAAAAAGTTCAAGCTAAACAGATGGCATATGGCCCGTGAGAACCCGCCCAGAAAAAAAACTGAAATCTATTAACCCTCTATACCCACAAACACCTCTACAGTGGAGTTTCCATAAAGCCCAGAAAGCTACTCCTGGTGGGACAGTGAAAAGTTCTCTGCCGTACACGCTACACATTTCCTTCATCTCTCAAATGGCTTTCCAGACAATTTGGAGAACATCCCAGATGTATGTTTTGAAAATCTCTTCACAAAGCAGGAGAAGAACCTACCGCTCCATGCAAAACCTCAGTTTGTTCAAATAAAGCATTGTGGGATATCTGCAGCATTAGATGTATGTACTTTCTGTTCGATGAGCTCTGCTGTTTGGTAGTTGAGGATGGGCCGCAGACCGTATCTGTCTGCCGCGGCTTGAGGGTTCAGGCTGAAGTTGAGCGCAACGAAGATAGGTGACAGCTTATCCCTGAAGTCCTTCTCATCCTACACTCCAGCAGAGAGGAAAACAGAGCGGGAGTTTATGAGAAAGGTCAGAAAGCAGGACGAAACGACGGCCAATAACAAGGCATTGGATAGCTGGCCAATCACAGCACACCTCGCTTTTTCAGCCCGATGAGCTTTGTAAAAATCGACGCGTTTCAAAAGGCGGGGCATAGAGGAGAAACATTAATGTACATTATGTGGAAAATAATGTGTTTTTTTTACTTTAAACCGCATAAACACATTTCATTACACCAAATAATGTTCTTTTTAGCATCATCATATGACCCCTTTAATTATTTTGTCAGTTCGTACCCTGATTAAATCTCTGTCCTGCAGTTAACCTACAGCTTCTTACCTTGAGGTTCAGGGGGTTGACTATGTTGTGGGTGGTGCAGTTAACAGGGCCCTCCGTCGTGACCTCCAGCGGGTAAATGAACCTGTTACTTTGAAGCCTCATGGGGCATTTGAGCTGCAGTAGAGTGTGACTGATGCGGCTCGGCCCGTTGTTCACCAACTGAGAAAGAGAAACGGACAGAGAAAGAGAGATATGAGTCAAGTGTATGTTATGTCATAATCCTCTCAACCACTTCAGTTTAAAAACAAGGCTGCTGCTTTGTCATTTTCACGATTACATCATATGCCATCACAACCACAAGATTAAGTTGTGCTGCTAAAGCAACTCCACAGGTGTTTCTGTACTTTCTGGTCATCATAAAAGGATGGTTTGATGCCTTGTGCTATTTCAGGACCTCTGTGTAGCTTTTGGAGATTCTCCATGACAACCTCTCCATGTGCAAGTTTTGCGTGACTCATCAGCAAAACCCTAACAGAAAGTATGTGTCATATATAGAAACCAAACTGCAAGCAGCAATTAGCGGAACTGACCGACATGAAATGGACTTAGTGACTTCTGTGTTCATTTCATAAAATGTAAATTAATTTAAAAAGATCTCTGATTGTACAATCACAAATTGCATACGAACACGTTTTCAATGAAGAAATAACATTTGACTGTCTATGGTGTTGCATTGACAGTCTTTTTTATTTATATACATTTTATTTTTGCTTGTAAAAAGAGAATGAATGAATGAATGAATGAATGAATTATATGAGGAGTTCATGAAAAAGTTTACCTAAAATTATTTGAAGTCTCTAGCTCAAAAAAAAAGCTGGCAGGGCTAACATTTAAAACACTGCAAATGTAACTGCTAGTTGCTAGGCAAAACCATACATCCCATAATTACACCACAGGAATATATAGCTTTTACTATGGATTCCTATCAATGACAGTCCTTCTCTGACTTCAAGTCCAACTGAACAACTCAGACAAGGTCTTTACCTCGTAAGTGTGCTGGACTGAGGGTCCGACATCCTGTTCAACCATCACATTCTTGGTCAACTTCCAGTTCGGTAGAGGAAAGAAGACCTTGTCTGGTCGGGAGACACTGTAAAATGAGAGATAAAGAGAGACGAGAAAATGAAAACCGGGAGAGTTTCCTAGTGAGAGTTCTAGAAGAGCGGTGGTCTTGTGAAGTACATATAAATGGGTTCTGCATGTGAACTCACCCCTGTAGAATAACATCTGACCGGACCACCACCTCCAACTTGTAGGGAACCACTTCACTCTGGGAGTTATTCTCATTCTTACTGTAGATGGAGAGATGGAGAGCTTATTAAAGAGCATACTAAAGCCTCTTTAAGGGCATGTGCAACTAACCTAACCATATATTTAAGATGCATGAAATATCAGGGACCATAATATTCTCACTTATAATTAAAAATGTATATGATGGCCAATATGAAATACATATTTAAATAAATAAAAGTAAATCATTACATTTTGTATTGGCAATCGTATATTTTTTTTAAATATCAATAAAAAAAAGTTTATTTCTTTATATAAGATTTCCTTTTTATATATTTATTTCTTTATACATTTCTTATTTATAAAAATAAAAAAAAATAATGCCAATTCAAACAATGATATGTTTTCTATGCAAAAGTACTAAACAGTTATTTATGTTTGCTACAGTATAGTTTAATTGTCTATAGATAATGTGAATGTTTATTTTTAAAGACACTTAGGTAAAACACCATAAAACAAAAAACACATTAAAGCTGTGTGCACTGGTTTCAAGTTTCATACCTACGTATCTGAAGGTCAAACTGCACAAATGTGTGTGTGTCCTTGAGACGTGGTACTGTGAATCGCAGTCCAGCCCATAACTGAAAATATAACAAAATAATTTATTTTAAATAATTCCAAACTCACTTCCTAGAAATACATATACATGCATATTTCATTAAATCATTTAAACACCCCAAAAATGACAGAAATACAAGCAATTTCTCATAAAGGAGCCAATAATATTAGCAATGCCACAATACTGAAAATTCAGCTTTCCAAGAATTACACCAGAGAATTCTCTACAACACACGAATTCCCCATAATGCACTGCCATAGCAACGGAATGGATGTTGAAATCGGTGGAATGTGCCTTTCCTGTATTCCATCCAAAAAACAAAAGTGGAAACACTAAAATGCATTCTCTGTCATTCATCTCAGTGATGTCATGTTTAGGTGTACTGACAAAAGCACTCCACTTAGTTAATGCCCTAAAATGCTAAAGTCACCTACCCAACCCCAGGCTGTATGGGAGTTCCAGCCTCCCTTTTATATTTGTGGTTTTATGCTCCCACCGCATGCACACAAACTCTAGCAATAAGACCCCATACGAGCAGCTAAAATTTTCCCTCAACTCAGTGTGTGAGAGTTCGGGTGTCCATGCACGTGTGCGTGGTTGTGACTTCTGAACTTCTCATTGCATGAGATACAATTACACATACAGGCCATGTTGTTACGAGGAACCTCTTTGGTGGTCCTGGAATCCAAAAATAATGAGCTAAAATAGCGTTTATAATAAAATTGCTGAATAAAACACCCAGATAACCTGCCCTGAACTAATGAGAGCAGCGTTGCATCGACTAAAAAAATAAACAGGGTCTGGAAAGACATAGACAGGGAACAGTTTGAACAGTCACCCAATTATACTCCATCTCTGCAGACACATTAAAAAGCCACAGGTCCCTCCACCTTCACACAGTGGCATTTTGGAGAGGGGAACTCCACTCTCTAAAGGGGTACAGCCAAAATGACTGTCACTTCCTGCATCACTGGTGGGGACTTCCTGCTTGATCCAAAACAGCCCTCAACAAACCCCCCAGACAGCACTACGAGCCAACTAACATTTTTCCAGGCATTTGTGAATACTGGAAAAGGATAACTGGATAATTATAAATTGTTTTATAGAGACCGCACACACAAAAAGCAATTTCTAGTCAATGAAAAATGTAAGAATTGAACAAAACTATAACTACATATACTATATCAGTAGATCAACATATGTATAGATCGGCAGATAAAGATTCATCTGTTGATGAATCTTTATCTGTACTTTCCATGACTTCATAAGATTCTACTCATTTCCATGACTCTTCAAATCATAATTTTTAAAATTCTCAGACATGCTAGAAAAGCAGTAAGATTCAACTGCACTTGATAAAAGTGTGTGTGGAGAGTGTTAGGTGCTTACGCTGGTGCCTGATTTCATGGGGTTCCCCAGGTCACAGCTGAGGTAGCGGGTCTGATTTTCCGTCTCATAACTGCAGGTCAGTTGGGCCAGGCTCTGTCCAGAGAAACAGAGAAAAAGACCAGTACATTTCGGGAAACACACACACAGAATGATAACTCATACCCCTGACTCATGTCTTGACCTGCTTAGACCAGTTGTGGCTGAATGTTAAATTTTTTTTATCTAAATTATCCTTACACGGCGTTACGGTTCAAAATAAGCAATTCATTAAAACAGGAGTTAATCCTTTGTGATTCCCAAGATCCTCTTGCAAGGGACCTTCTTCTTAAAATGTAAAGTATTCTATATATTTTCATATATAAAGACCAATTTATATTGTATAAGGAAAGGATATTATAAAGACACGTTGCTTACAAAGTCAAATAATTGGTTTCTACATTGTCATTGTACTAAAGCAAAAATACTTGTATTTATTATGACATTTATTTGAAGCAAAAATATTATTCTAATTGTTTATCGTGATAAAAATAGTTAGTAATTTAGTAAATTGTTATTTTTTTCTTTTCAATTTTCCATGGACCCCAAAACCACTGCATTAAAATGCCGAACGCTGAGGATTTCTCATCACATGTCTCCATTAATAAAAAAAAACACGTCTTCTCTAGAGTATCAAAGTGACAGAACAAAGGTCTTTCTCAGCTGAAATGCTGAACACATGTAGGAGTTAATGGACGGGGTCTGGCACACGTCCGTGTAATAGGCAGCACGTGGAGGTCTCCATATCTCACCTCGTTATTGCGGGCTATTCCGCTGTAGTCGGCCTCTGGTGGCAAGACCACATACAGTTCGGCTTCGTACGCTCCGCCTCCATCGTTCTTTGCATTGAAAGTCAGTGTCAGAGAGTTGTCATCGCCCATGTACACTTCCTTCCTGTCCCTGAGGAACCAAAACGTGAACAAAACATAAAACTCTTCCATTGGTGGCTAATTTACTTTCTACAGGGTCAAGAGCAAATATACAAATTGTACTTTCAGACACAAACACTGTTTAAGTCAATGCATTAACAAACACCACTAACTGGCCATTTAAAACCTGTGTAGTAGTTTTTATACTAGCTCTAAAGTATTAAGCACACAGGACATTGACTGTATTCTGATCTAGCAGTAAAATATCACTCGGACCTTTCCAACAGGAAGCCCTTCCTCCTGCATTGTACACACATTTCCTATTAAAAACCCCTAATTTCCATTGTAGCTATAAAGTCGAACATGCAACGACAAAGATTGTGAAACATTCCGCAAAGTTCCCTTTTTTTCTATTCCCTCGTGTTCCCTTCCCCTTTTCTTTTCTCTCTACATCTCAGACACAATGAGAAATTCCATGAGAGGGCCACACAGACGCTTCCAATTACTGCCTGGCCTCGTAAACCCATGCTGGGGAAGCGGCATGCACAGAATTCAAACGCTGGCACTCGGCTGGTGAGGGACTCGAACCTATGCGGAAGCCAGTGCTTGCTGCACTTTCATAACAAACCCCTCCAGATGGCACATATTGGTTGGGTTCATGTCACAAGGAGGTCATGATTTGCATTCAATGGCTACTCAAAATAAATACCGTGATCTTTACAACAAATGAACACCGGTAAGTTCTAATAATTACTTGGAAATGATTTAATATAAAAGTGAATTTGACTGAAACCTGGACCTGGGAAGCAAATGCTGACAGCTGTACTAAAGAATAGCCATGCTGTCCGAGGCGTCCCTGTAAAGTTTTCCTATAGAATAACGCCTCGAGTGAATTTCCAAGACATACTATTCCCTCTGTTTGTTGGATGACGAGAAAATCCAAAGACTCTGTGGAGATAATTAATGCCCTCCACAGTTTAATAAATATGTGGCCTAAGACAAATGCAACAAATCTGTAAGGTTTTTGGTAAGGCATATTTTTGCAGTCGAAGTATAACAACAGATACAAACAAACCGGTGTATAAAAGAGAGAGAAAATACTCACAGATTTTACAAATCAACTGCAGGAAAAAGGGGGCCACAGTTTTCCAAACTTATCTACTTCATCTATGCAGTTTTTTTTCCACAAGCCAAGTCAGCCAATCCCAGCACCTGTTGCATAGCCCTCCTTCCTGTTTTTTTCCTGTGTATCTATGCATGTGTGTGTGTGCGCGCGTGTCACTAATCTCACCTGGGAACACTCTGTCCATATATTCACATATATGAATATGAATCACATATATTTATCCAAATATCTAATCTAAACAGTAGCTGGAATTAGCATTTCTCATGCCTAAAATAGTTTTACTTCAAACGTGCCTTTGCTGCAAACTTTGCAACAAGCACACTAAACCCAAGGCTTTTATTTCTTCTTTGCATTCCTTGCTAATCATCTTACCCATGCACAGAGAGTTTCAGGTCAGGGACGCAGATGTTGTCCTCTCCGCAGTCCAATAAAATCTGGGCCTAGAACACAAGCCAGAAAAACATTAAGTTAAGTTACTGAGAGATTATAGTCATCAATTTCCAACATATTTCAATTTCAGAATGTGACTTATTTGAGGGACACAGGGAATTATATGAGAAAAAAAGATCTCCTGGGACCTGATTTTATATTTAAAGGAATTTACTGGATGGTGAGAAGTGGGCATTGCATACCAAAATGAAGCCAGACAGATCTACAATTATATGCAAATGCAAAGACTTATTTTTTTTCCAGATCTATTAATTTATTTCATAATACATTAAAAATACAATTCATGACAATAATGTTTTTAATTTCTGAATTAAAATTCATTTTTATAAATTGGTGGGAGGCTTAAATGTATTTAAAAGAAAAGCTTTAGAAATTTGCCATAATCTACAACAACAAATGTTATTTTTTTAGAAAAAAAATTAATTCAGCATAAAATAAATCAATTATAATATTTTTAGAGTAGTTAAATGTATAAATAAACAAACAAAAGGGTAAAAACAGAAGGTTAGCCATTCATTTACGAGCAATATGATCTAAAAAAAAAAAGAACTTGTCTGAGATTCTCCAGTCATTTTCTTAATCATATGAAGGATACCACCTGTAGGCGTCAACGCCCTGATAAGCATACTTTTAGACACACTTCCCAGAAGCAGCATCCCAACTAAACATCTCTAGGCACTTTACACAGGGAAAACCTCCAATAAACCTTTACAAACTGCTATGAAATTTCAACCTACTTACACTATGAAACCATTTACAAACTCCTACAAACAGCTTTTTTCAAAAAAATCCAAGCAAAGCACTCGTAAGAAATTTGTAAACTACAGACAGCAGCGCAACTGCATTATAAACAGTGCGTTCGGTTAGGTAAAGTATTAGCGCATGACCATGTCAGACAATATTGACGCCTAATACACCATCGTACAAAATGAATATAAACATTACCGTTTACACGGGTAAACACTCCTCAGCCTAAAAAAGATTAGTAAACACTGCTGGTTTGAAGAGCAGATGTGTACAGGCTTCAAAAAACATATAGCGCTCACTTGAAGGGATAAACAGCTATGGTTGTACCCATAAGGCCGTTCTATCTGTCACCAACATCCACATCAGAGGCTGCCGACCCTGAACCGCATGCTAGCTGCACGCGACACCACCCAACTCTCACCACACACACACACATATATATATATATATATCTCACATAAAGCACACCCATTAATGAGAGAGTATCCGTATACAATGTATGAAAGAATCTAAAACAAAGAAATGGGGAAAGTGGTGCCGTGGCAAATTGCTATCACCTGATGCCGTGTTTCTAACATGTGCGAGGATGACGCAACATGACAATGAGGTTAAGAAAATAGAATAGGGAGATTAGAAAGGGCAAAGTGGCTTCCCTGTAATCAGCAGTTGCTGAGCTCTAATTACAACCGATGAGGGCAGCCAGCCCTTTCCATAGCTCTGTATCGGGCTGCTCCGAACCTCCTGAAGAGGGTTGTTTGGGATCACTGGAGCAGCCAAACAATTAGAAGCCCAAGCGGAGATAAAAGAGAGGGTCACATGTGCATATGTCCAAGTTGATCCACAGCCAAAACCACCATAAAGTGTTTACGGAAGTGTCAAGGTCTGAAAACAGCATAATTGGGTCAACAAATGGGAGGGCGTCAGGCGGGATCACTCACAACATTTATCAAAGGAGCTCCAAAACATCTCAATCTAAAGGCGAAATGAATACAGAGCATCACATCTGTAGTCCCTTGAAAGTAAAGACCACGTATAAGATTATTCATTTATTCCACTAATTCTTAAAAAAAGAAAGGTCTTTGAAGTTTGACAATCTATTATTTTTTTATTAGGAAAATAATTGAAATAATAATACAATTATTTTTCATTATTGTTATAATTTGCTTTAAATATTGTGTATATTTATATAATATTTGTACTTGTATTAAATATATTGTGTATTATATAAAATATATTGTGTTGCTGTTATTATTATTATTATTATTATATGACTTACTCGAACACATTTATATATTTATATCATATTTATATGATAGTATATAATTACATGTTTATATAATATTAAAAAATATAAAAATATTGTTAATAATAATTATTTTATTTTTATTTAATTATTCTAAGAAAATTGTTGATATTTTTATATATCATCTATACTCTATAAAAATATAAGTTACTTTAATAATAATAATAATTTATTATTATTATTATTAAGTTTTTGTTATTTAAAACAGTATGTTTTTTAAACAATATAAAACCAATGTGAACACAAAAAGTACATTTCTAAAAACTTGGCACGTGTTTTTAAATGACTTAAATTAGAATTTGTTTTTTTTTAATCATACTTTTAAATTATTTTCTCTTCCTTTATAAAGAAGACTCATTTATCATGAATAAAAGGGCTTCCACTTAGTTTTTTGGCTTGAATAAGTAGAAGTTTAGAAGATAATTCCATCTGCAATGTTTCCAAGACCTCTGATTAGAATGATTCTGCATATGGTCAGTGCGGCCCATGTGTTCGGCACGGTCTCAATAACTACTGAGAGAAAACTACCACCCAAAAAGTTCAAGCTAAACAGATGGCATATGGCCCGTGAGAACCCGCCCAGAAAAAAAACTGAAATCTATTAACCCTCTATACCCACAAACACCTCTACAGTGGAGTTTCCATAAAGCCCAGAAAGCTACTCCTGGTGGGACAGTGAAAAGTTCTCTGCCGTACACGCTACACATTTCCTTCATCTCTCAAATGGCTTTCCAGACAATTTGGAGAACATCCCAGATGTATGTTTTGAAAATCTCTTCACAAAGCAGGAGAAGAACCTACCGCTCCATGCAAAACCTCAGTTTGTTCAAATAAAGCATTGTGGGATATCTGCAGCATTAGATGTATGTACTTTCTGTTCGATGAGCTCTGCTGTTTGGTAGTTGAGGATGGGCCGCAGACCGTATCTGTCTGCCGCGGCTTGAGGGTTCAGGCTGAAGTTGAGCGCAACGAAGATAGGTGACAGCTTATCCCTGAAGTCCTTCTCATCCTACACTCCAGCAGAGAGGAAAACAGAGCGGGAGTTTATGAGAAAGGTCAGAAAGCAGGACGAAACGATACTCTTAATTCCTTGCTGCATTTTTAGTGTCTATTGCCACACTTATCTTCACTTTTAACACTTGCTAGGAAATGGAAAACTAACTCACTTAAATGCAGGTCATTTTTCCACTCAATGTTTACATTGGTTAGCCCCACATACTCTTAATTCTCATTGGCTCACAATCCCCTTCCTCATAAAACGCACACTGAACAATGAATATCTTCTGAATGCCACATTAAGACATAACGCTACACCATTTCATATCCAACTTTTATACACTGTATACACTATTTAGCAGAGGTGGGACCAAGTCATTATTTTGCAAGTCACATGAAAGCCCTAATTCTTTGCATTGTAGTCCGAAGTCAAGTTATTGCTGTCAAAGTCGAGTCACAAGTCATCAGATATGAAACTCAAGTCCAAGTCATACGACTCAAGTCCACAACACCCTGCTATTTAGTGCACCATTAATGTCCCGCTTTACAAAGTTTTGTAGGCAAACTGGGGTCAAACTCACCCGCAAGTAGATCTTGGTGTCACTGCAGACTCTGGCTCCATTTGGCACAGTCAGAGTCCTCTGCAGAGCGGGAAGCTGGGTGTCTAAAAACAGAGCTCTCTGTGCGGCCCCTTTCTGCTGCTGCTTCAGACGGTCCAGCTGAACTTCAACGTTAAACTCTACAACACACACCCATTATCAGATATATTTAGAAATGTTTCGGACACAATGCCTTCATGTTGGCTCTGGCATACAGGTGCAAGACGAAGCCAAGCTGACACAACACTAAATCTCAAAGCCTATTGGGCAGATCAGAACTATGTGAAGACTTCTTCCAAACATTTAGTTTTTATTATTATCAAACAGCTGAAGAGAATGACTATAAGAAAAGCCATAATTCTTTTGATGGAAAGGCATGAGGGCATGAAGGAATTTGCATGCTGTTCAGATGCATATTGTGCACCTGTGCTCAGTTATCGGAGCGTGTGCAGTAGGTGTTATTCTTTGCACATAGTCTAGGTCTCTAAATGCAGGGCATGTGGGGGAATAGAGGGAACTCATTTACTGAATAAATACATTGAAAAGGTTATGTATGGACAAAGAAAGGCTTATGGATGGAATGGGAAACATGAAGGCTCTGTTAGAAGCCAAAAAACATTTATTTTAGGTGGTGAGGGAAATTAAGTAAAAATAAGTCCTAGAATAACTGTTCGCCACATTGTGCAGGAGATTGTCAGGGCATGACTAGTGTTCTGGATGGTTGCTTATTTAAAAAGGAATACTATTTTAGAGGACGTTGGATCAATAGGTGGGTAAACAAGAGCAGATGTGGCTTACCGAGATGATTTGGTAGGTGCTTCCCATTGGCTGAGAGGCAAAAGCTCAGGTTGACACTGTAAGAGGCAGAGCAGACAAATGATGAGAGATGAAGTGGATTTATTACAATGAAGCATTAAAAACACATTGGTTGCATCTCTTTGGCTATGGAATATTTGCTATTATTGTTTCCTCAGGCTATAACGCTTGACAGCTTGAAGGAAGGATGACTCCAGTGTAATGGATCACGCAACACAGTTATGGATTATGTCTGTGCTGGAAACTGACGTAATGTACACTACTGTTCAAAAGTTTCTGAAAGACGTCTCTTACGTTCACCAAGGCTGCATTTCTTTGATCAAAAATATAGTAAAAATAGCAACATAATGGAATATTATTACAATTTTGAATACAAACCCAATTCCAAAAAAGTTGGGACACTGTACAAATTGTGAGTAAAAAAGGAATAGAATAATTTACAAATCTCATAAACTTATATTTTATTCACAATAGAATATAGATAACATATCAAATGTTGAAAGTGAGACATTTTGAAATGTCATGCCAAATATTGGCTCATTTTGGATTTCATGAGAGCTATACATTCCAAAAAAGTTGGGACAGGTAGCAATAAGAGGCCGGAAAAGTTAAATGTACATATAAGGAACAGCTGGAGGACCAATTTGCAACTTATTAGGTCAATTGGCAACATGATTGGGTATAAAAAGAGCCTCTCAGAGTGGCAGTGTCTCTCAGAAGTCAAGATGGGCAGAGGATCACCAATTCCCCCAATGCTGCGGCGAAAAATAGTGGAGCAATATCAGAAAGGAGTTTCTCAGAGAAAAATTGCAAAGAGTTTGAAGTTATCATCATCTACAGTGCATAATATCATCCAAAGATTCAGAGAATCTGGAACAACCTCTGTGCGTAAGGGTCAAGGCCGGAAAACCATACTGGATGCCCGTAATCTTCGGGCCCTTAGACGGCACTGCATCACATACAGGAATGCTACTGTAATGGAAATCACAACATGGGCTCAGGAATACTTCCAGAAAACATTGTCGGTGAACTCAATCCACCGTGCCATTCGCCGTTGCCGGCTAAAACTCTATAGGTCAAAAAAGAAGCCATATCTAAACATGATCCAGAAGCGCAGGCGTTTTCTCTGGGCCAAGGCTCATTTAAAATGGACTGTGGCAAAGTGGAAAACTGTTCTGTGGTCAGACGAATCAAAATTTGAAGTTCGTTTTGGAAAACTGGGACGCCATGTCATCCGGACTAAAGAGGACAAGGACAACCCAAGTTGTTATCAGCGCTCAGTTCAGAAGCCTGCATCTCTGATGGTATGGGGTTGCATGAGTGCATGTGGCATGGGCAGCTTACACATCTGGAAAGGCACCATCAATGCTGAAAGGTATATCCAAGTTCTAGAACAACATATGCTCCCATCCAGACGTCGTCTCTTTCAGGGAAGACCTTGCATTTTCCAACATGACAATGCCAGACCACATACTGCATCAATTACAACATCATGGCTGCGTAGAAGGATCCGGGTACTGAAATGGCCAGCCTGCAGTCCAGATCTTTCACCCATAGAAAACATTTGGCACATCATAAAGAGGAAGATGCGACAAAGAAGACCTAAGACAGTTGAGCATCTTTTATCATTTGCCACTGATGATTCAAACGCGAGTTTTTGGCAGTGTGGAGTAGCACTTGTTTGTCATTTCTCTGATCACAAATGCAGACAGGGTTTTATGTTTACGTGGCACGATGCAATGCAACGCATCGCGTAAAAAGACAGTATAAGTCATTATAATCAGTAATTATGTCCCCACTGGATGCAACAAATGTCTCGTTTGTAATGGGTTTTAATGTTTTTGTTTTGTCGCTCTGGCCAGACACGCCATCACAGTATGGTGAGAGGCGTAACATTTCCGTCACACGCTTGAGGTATTCGGCCAATCACAACGCACTGGATAGCTGGCCAATCACAGCACACCTCGCTATTTCAGACCGATGAGCTTTGTAAAAATCGACGCATTTCAAAAAGGCGGGGCATATAGGAGAATCAATAATGTACAGTATGTGGAAAATAATGTTTTTTTTTTTACTTTAAACCGCATAAACATTTCATTACACCAAATAAATGTTCTTTTTAGCAGCATCATATGACCACTTTAAGTTTAGAAATTTTGTTGTATGCATTTGTAATTTTTATTTAATCTCTTTATTTTTAAAATGTGTATAGGTAGTATTTATAAAGTTTCAGCTTTTAGTTTTGGATCTATTTTTAGTTGTTTTAATACTACAATTGATTGCTTCTGTTGTCCTCATTTGTAAGTCGCTTTGGATAAAAGCGTCTAATAAATGACTAAAAAAATAATTATATCTATATATCTATATATATATATACATATATACATATATATACACATATATACATATATACATATACATATACACACACACACACACACACAGTATAAATATAAAAAATAAATAAAAAACTGATTCAAAATATTAGTAAAAACAGTTTCGCAATGATACCAAAATAACACTGGCGTTAGACAACAGTAAAGGTAAAAGAAAAAATAAGGGAAATTAACATGCACAATTAAATAAAGCCCGATATCTATCAAACAACCAAAACCAATAAAAAAAATCCAATATCAGCTGATAACTAATACAATTGTCTGAAGACTGACAGATAAGTGCAAAAATCTGGGCAGATCTCTCACCGTTGTAACCATCTTGGTTGAGGTCTCCGAGAGGGGTAATGGAGCTGCCAAACCGGCCGAACATCTGCGTGCCGGTTAGGTGAGGTAGCTGAGGTGTGAGATCCAGAGGTCCATTCTGCATGTACACGTAGACCCGACCCAACTCTTCCAACCTCCCATCAGAGTCACGAACCATGAACATGGGAGCCCCAACTAGCAGGTCCGTCATCCTGGAGGTGGTATGAACCACAAACTTAAACACTGAACAAATTCTTGTGGTACATTCTTGTCTAAACCCTGGTTATGGTTACCTACCCATCACTGTTTATGTCAGTAGCAGCCACCGCATAGCCATAGTAGGAACCCATCTGAAAAATTTAGGAAAATTAAAAACTGTAACGGATCTGAAATCACGTGTAGATACAAGCTTCTCAGTTTTACACTGTACATACAAACAACATGCATAATCTTATGAATGTCACATGGACAGTAACTTTACGCCTGAAGGCACTCGTTGACATTTACACTGTTTGGTTATGGTTTGAGTGCATGAAAAGAGCTCTTTGATGATTCAGATGTGGCTCGCTCTCTAGCCCCCTGAGGTGGGCGCACACAAATTATTTTTGATTGTATTTACTCAGCTGAGGCAATCAGAGCAGTAAAAGGCCTCCAACAATTTCCACTGTGACGCTCGTTTAGGAAAATTGCCCGCAAGCTCTTGCCTCACATAATCTGTCGGTTACTGCTAACCACAGAGCACTCCAACTTGGTTTAAAGAGACTTGTAAAGGAAATTATTTTTGCTTATGTCATCAGTGTGCAAGGGTTTGAAGAATATCAGGGTAATATCAGTAGTAAGAATGACATAACTTCTGTTAAAATGTCACGTCCTAAAATAGCTGCAGCAAAATATATTATTACACCACAAAAGCCAATAGAACAACTTAGAAACAAGACTTGAAAATATGATTAGTGCATGGCCAAACAAAACTTTAGGATGTTCTAGGAGGTTGCCAATGTGTTGTACTTGCAATAAAATGAATAGCATCAAGCTTACCTGCTCACCAGTTAAGGTCTTCAGCGTATCCAGAGAACCATTGAGAATGGAAACCTGATAAAAAGACAACAGACTAGAGTTTTCATTCCATCAAGTACCATCATAAAAATCTCTGCTTGACTACCAATTCCAAACTAAAAGTCATACTATAGTGGATGTTTAATGGATTTGGTCACATTTAATCCACTGAAAATCTGACTCAACCCGCATCTTGAGTGAAAAGACCTCTGGCTAAATGTGACAGTTTATAGTCTGACTGCTTTCTCTCACCTGTCCATGCAGTCTGACTCCCCTGGGAACTCCAGTCACAAAGTCTGAAAGGAGGCGAGGCAAAAAAAGAGAGGAAAAAGAGAAAGTTTTAGAAGTGGAAACATGGAAATGTGTGAGTTCCTCAAGATCTCTGAGAATTCTGGCGATCAGAGCCACTCCAAGAGCTCCATTTTCAAATTTGTTTAGGTGTAAGGGATTCATAAAGAGGGTATAATCATAACACTTCCATTGAAAGGTTCTACAAACAGCGCATGGATTTAATACATCCGTTTATGGCAATTCCAACAGCAGATGATTCACCGTCACAGTCATTCTATCTCTGTTTTTAATGAGTATAATGAAAATGACATCAAAATAATCTAGTCAAACTGTAACCTAAACAAGCACTATAAATGTTAAGGTTTTATATTTTGGGGTCACAACACTCACCTTCATCATCATCACCACTGAACTCGCCCACAGCCACTGAGTAACCTGTTAAACGTATGAAAACCATGGGTGGTGACCAACAGGAAAAAAAAATTAAGTTTTCAACTCGACAGCTAATAAGGGGGATGGAAAGACATACCCATGTAGTTGTCATCAAATGTGATCTCTTTTTTCTGTTTGGTCTGAATCTGGCCCTTCACTGATGTCAAGAAGAATCCTGGGTAATAGGCCTTGACTATTTCTTGTTTAACCGCAGTGATTACTTGGCCTAGAGATGGTAAGGAGAAAATTACCTTTTAATTGCATTTGAACTAAATGTCACTGTTGATGCAAATATCCACATTTGGAAATCTAGAAATCTTAGAAATCTTTGGAAATCTAGGTCAAGTGACGAAACATCTATGTTTATGAAAGGTACACACACACAACTGTTCAAAAGTATGTAAGATTTTTTTGAAAGTGGTCAACTGTCTTATTCTCATCAAGATCTTATTCTCATCAAGGCTACATTTACACAAATACCATAAAAAAACAGCAATATTAGGAAATACTAATCAAAATTTAAAATAATTTTCTGTTTTAATTAGGGCTGCACGATAAATCGTATGCGATATTTAACGCGCATCTTATCAGTAAAGCTGGTTCTGTAATCACCATTTTTTCTTTCTGACAAGATGCACGTTAAATATCGCATGCGATTTATCGTGCAGTCCTAGTTTTAATATATTTTAAAATGTCTTTTATTCCCATGTAGGCAAAGCTGAATTTTCAGCAAACATACTTCAGTCTTTAGTACCACACAATCCTTCAGAAATCATTATATTCTTATTATTGTCAATGTTGAAAACAGTTGTGCTACTTAATATTTTTGTGGAAACCATGATGCATTTTTTTTTTCCAGGATTCTTTGGTGAATAAGTTTAAAAGAACAACATATATATACACAGTCTTTAATAGAAATTATGTTTTGTAACATTACATACGGTATGCCTCTCACTTTTGATCAATTTAATGCATCGTTGCGGAATAAAAGAATTATTTTTTTTTTTTTTACTTTTTAACAGTAATGAGCTCTTAAAGACTCTATTCTACTCCATTCTAAAACTAGTGTTTTTATTTTGAAAGCCAAACCTTGCCAGAAGTAACTGCCAGGTCCTCCAAGCACCACCTTTCCTTCCTGTAACATAGCAACAGTATCTAGGTGAGATCAGAAGGAAACAGCAGATAAGCAAAGCGTTGTGTTCTAGTCAGTTCCAGTATCATCTCACCTGTGTAAAATCAGCACTGAATCCACCTTGACAGTAGCCTTGTCCTTTTCTTTCATGGAATTCTGCAATGGACGGTAAGTTATGCTACTGTGACTTTAAAACAACTCAAATTAAACAAATCATCAGTGACTGCAAGCCTACCCGTGCGGCACGGAGCATATTCCACAAACTTGGTGAAGTTTTTGACGGACAGAAAACATGAACCAGTAGTATCAGCATGAGGTGTGTCCTCCTTGGCTCTCCATGAGTAGAGGGGGGCGCAAGCCTATGCAAAGGATAATGCAAGAGGTTAAAGGTCACCTCCATGCTAGCTGAGTACAAAGAAGACCCTGATGATAAAGCAACCATGATGATAAATTCAAGTCACAGTTTGATAATCCACAAGGGACATCACCTAGACTTTTGATATTACAGATCAAGCATTATCCACAAGCCAAAGGAGTCATAAAGTTTAAATTGAGAAGGAATACAAAGGAATGAATGAATGAATAGACAAATAAAACAAATGAATAGAGCTGGATCTGATCGGATTCATAATTTGAGACATACACAGATAATTTAAGAACATGAACTTAGAATTGAGTCACCAACCACACTTTGTGTCCAACCACAAATGTTCAAGAGGATATAATGGTTTGTCATGATTTGAAGGAGGGTTTATGTCTGATTATTGTACTGACTATTATCCACACAGCCTAAAATAGGAGTAAGAAGATCTTACCAGCACACTATCTTCATGCACTCGTACGGTTGCTCCAAACCACTGATGGGATTTGAACTCTCCCTGATGCACTGTATAATTCAGGGTCACATTTAGATCGCCTATAAAAAATAAATAAATAAAACAAATAAATAAAAATGTAAACATCATTGTGATAGAATGTAAAGCCTAAAAAATAAAATAATGATAGATAGATAGATAGATAGATAGATAGATAGATAGATAGATAGATAGATAGATAGATAGATAGGATAATGTTTTATCAACTTATAAACATCTCCTTTGAAACATTTTTCAAAGTCGTGTGGACAGGGTAAAAAAAATTAATAATAAATATCAGTGCATTTCACAACCAAAATCACATCATGCCCAACATTACTTCTGAGTGAATATTCTGTTGCACTCAGAAATGTCACATCACATTAGTCAAATGTTATTTTAAGCACATTTAGACCCCTAATAAAATGAAAAGACTAAGGTGGAAAAAAAGAACAGACTGTACAACGCAGGCTCAGGTGTCCACTGAGGTTAAAGATCATATCATGAAGTGCCGGCACAAGAAGGGGAAAAACAGATGGTCACATATGGGCTGAAACTGGATTCATAATCAAAACAAAGGACAACATGCTGGTCAATGAGAGAGGCTGGGAATCAACAAATAGACCACCAGACCAAAACCATCAGAGATCAGGTTCAACTGCCAGAGAAGTCACTAGGCCAGAAAATTCAAAATTAATCGAAAGTCTCCAAAACGCTCTGTCCCCCTTTCTGACTGCCAAACTGAACTTTGCCACAGACATTTCTCAAGTTGAACCATAATTACAAGCATGATGCAACAGGGTTCTGTGGTGTGATGGAGGGGAAGGGGGACAGAGAGACTGAGGAAGAGGAGAAATGTGTGAAAGGTAAAACTGGCGGTAACAATTCTCAGCTGGCTCTAAGAGGGCCTGGTCTCATTCGGAATGAAGAAACTGTGCCAGGGAGCCTCATCCAAACAAAACAGGAGCTCAAGTTATATGGGTTAATATTACAAAAACTGTCAAGAAATGTCTGGATCATACTGTAGCCCCAAATCAAAAGAAGAATAGGAAATATATATTTTGCATAAAGAAAACCAAGTCTACAATTAAATCAGCCAAAGATTCTCTATGGGGTTCAGGTCTCGTGAGTTTGCTGGCCAGTCAAGAACACCAACACCATGGTCATTTAACCAACTTTTGGTGCTTTTGGCAGTGTGGGCAGGTGCCAAATCCTGCTGGAAAATGAAATCAGCATCTTCAAAAAGCTGGTCAGCAGAAGGAAGCATTAAGTGCTCCAAAATTTCTTGGTAAACGGGTGCAGTGACTTTGGTTTTAAAAAAAAAACACCAGCAGATGACATTGCACCCCAAATCATCACAGACTGTGGAAACTTAACACTGGACTTCAAGCAACTTGGGCTATGAGCTTCTCCACCCTTCCTCCAGACTCTAGGACCTTGGTTTCCAAATGAAATACAAAACGTGCTCTCATCTGAAAAGAGGACTTTGGACCACTGGGCAACAGTCCAGTTCTTCTTAAAAAAAATAACTCTTAATAGCCCTACTGTGTGTTAGAAAAACTAAAAAGCAATTTATTTCATTTGTAGGCCTATCGTTATTTTTTATTTGTGCTATCATTAGTAATTTCTTAATTTGTTCTTATTTTATTATTAACTGCTTAGCCTCCTTGTAATTCAAAGTTTTAAATCAAGCTCTCTCGTGTTACTGCAACAAAGTTACCAACTGTAAAATCAAAAATACACTGAGCAAAACTTTAATTACCATTATAACTAGCTATCTCACAATGTTTGCATATGAATAAAAGCCTACATTAAAATCGGTCATATAAATAGTTTTTTTTTTCATTAGAAATTAGCCTACTGATAGACAATTTTTTTTTTATAATATTAAAAATATCTGTATGACAGTATATTCTGCAGTTCTTCCGAATATCTATACTTTTCAAAGTATCATATCGAAGTTAGAAATTCAAATAGTGAGAATTAATTTTGTAGGGTGCCACAAATTTGTTAAAATTTCCCAAAGGGTGCCGCGACTAAAAAAAAAGGTTGGGAAACACTGGCCTAGTGAATCAAACTGAGAGACTATTTTGAAGGCTCAGGAAACCTTTGCAGGTGTTTTGAGTTGATTAGCTGATTGGCATGTCACCATATTCTAATTTGTTGAGATAGTGAATTGGTGGATTTTTGTTAAATGTGAGCCAAAATCATCACAATTAAAAGAACCAAAGACAAACTACTTCAGTAATTGTATGCATAAATGTGCATAATTGTCATAATATAATACATAATTATGGACATAATACATAATAGTCATAACACAAAAAAAAAAATAGCGGTCTTGAAATAGGCCATGTAAAATCTTTATGCAACATTTTCGATTTTAGGGTGAAATATAACCCTAACATTTCTTTGTGTGATTCACCCAATTGGTAAGACCCTTTTCTACTGTCTAAAAAGACTGTCTCATTCTGAATGAGGAAACGGGAACCTTCATCCAAGCAAAACAGGAGTTCAAGCTATCTGTCAGATACACTCCTACTGATACAAACACACACTCTCTCTTGCTCTCCGTCTTCAGCTCACAGCACCCTTCACCTTCCTCTTCCCTTTCTGAAAGTCTGTCATCCTTTTCTAGGAATTCCACTTCATTATTTTCTCTGTTTAAGTCACCATCTCCCACTCATTCCTTTACTATCTTGTGTGGTTTCTTTATCTCCCTCTACTTGTCATCTCTGTATACTTGTCCTATTCTTTTCCAAACCACCCCTTAACACAGACAGACACACACGCCTCCTTTTCCCCAGACGTCTTTTGTTTCCTTCTCTCAAGGATGTTTGGTACCCCAGTAGGAAAGCAGTGGGGATTAGAGCCCTCTAATAACATTAGAGGATATATGCCTTATGGTCTCCTCCAGGGTGCTGGTTTTCTCTTTCTTTTCCTCTCTGTCTTTCCCTCGCTCGCTCGCCAAAGTAAAGAGGCCTAAAGAGTCACGCAGGAAAACCAGCAGCCCTGGATTGGAGAAAACTCAATTGAAGTGTGTTTAAGACACGGTAAATGGAAGACGTCGGCTAAAGTAAAACTAGTACACGGTCGGGGGGACAGTTTGTGGGAGGAGAATCAGTCAACGTCGATGGAGGTGGGTCGTTAAAACTAACAATTATCTACAGTTAGGGGAGAGCTACCCAAAACTGGATGAGATTTCCCTTTGTGTCAGAACAACAGTCGTGATTGTTTAAGACTCTGATGCAAGATACGGTTGAGTTACAACTGTTGGAGATTGAATCTGTGCATTTATTTACACATTTAACACACAAAAATGGCAAGCTCTAATCTGAATGGATGGCTTAACACAACTCCAGTAGTTTTATTATCTTTAACAGAAACAAAACTGAAAACATTAGTTTAAGTGGTGAGGTCTTTATTTGAAATATTTGCTGACAAAATTTCAAATGTAAATAGAGCGTAATAATTATTCACTTTCTCCATAGACAAACTTTTAATGATAACAAATCTAGAAAGACCTAACATGAGCTCTTAATGATAATGATTAATCAAATAAAATCAATAAAATAAAACAGAAATAAAAAAAGTACAAAATAAATAAAATAGTCAAATGAAAATATTTTCATTAACTCAAAAACTAACCTAACTGAAATAAAACTGAAGCTACACAAATAAATTATGACTAATTAACTAACTAAAATTAATTATAAAAGGCCACAAATTAATTTTAATTGATATAAATGCTACATTATAAAACTTTAAACAACCTGCCTGCATGAAACAAAATGCCACTACAAAAAAAAAGAAAAAACCTAGACTGTGCGGAGAAATGTAACACTTGACTTTTATATTGTATATAAAATAAAGTATTTAATATAACTACATTAATGTAATATATGGCTGATATAACCATTTAATAAAACTTTTATATAAAATAAAAACAAAAACGCAAATTGAAAATACAATCTACAAATAAATTGTAAAAATCTGGGTGCACAGTTTTTTTATCAGTCCAACTGGAAACGGAGAAAGTTCCCAGGCAGCAATGAGCACTTTTATGGAAGAATAAGTCACTGGATTTGGGTCATGGTTCATGGAAGATTCAACTGAAACTCTGAAAGATATTCAAGAGTTTTATTTGTTGCAAACAAATTACAGATTCCACTTTGCTCAAGGTTAAATCCAACAACATCATATAAAAAGGAGTACTTGGTTTAATCAAATGTCTAAGTGTTCTTGGCCGGAGTAAGCTGTAATGTGGACCAGAACCTTAGTCTGGTAACGTGAGACTAATGCTGATGTCACCTACAGGATTTAAGAGGCACTATTCAAACAATTAATGCACCTTAACAGACACCTCTGCTGTGATGTACAGCCATTTTAATCAAAATTCTCTCTATTGCTAATCCTAAGAGTGCTCTCAGTTTCTGGAGTCAGGCCAAGACGACCTGGCCGACAATCTCATGGGACGGTGGAGGTGAGGAGGTCACACACACACACCTCTCTCTTTCAGTGATGAGAGAAGAGACCCATTAGGGGAGTATCTTGATCTGTGTGAGAGAAAGGGAGGGGTAGCGGAAGACACGAGCCACAATGGCTAAATTCAGTCATCACATCAAGCGTCCCCGGGGAGACACCGGGAGACAGGGAAATGAGAATAGACAAGAGTCAACGCTCGCTCTCCTCTGATTCCCGCCCACTCTCATCATTCTCGGTTATTTTCTTATCAGAGAGGAAGAGGAAAGAGGTCAGATCTGAAGACACGATTAGCTAATGCTCAATGAGAAATGTTAGGCAGGAGGAAGTACTATAAGTGACCCTCTTGCGGCCCACTTAGGAGAACCAATGGTGCACCAGTGGCCACAGGGTCAAGTCCAGATTTAAGTGGTGAGGTCTTCATTTGAAATATTTGCTGTGGCTCAATGTAAAATGGAAATGGAGGCAACGTAAGACTGAGCTGCAATGCTATATGCATAATTCATATTTTTAGAGAAACTGATTTTTAATGATAACATAATACATGAAATAATATGAACATATACATACGCATATATATATATAATCTAAAATCTACTGTATAATGTCATGCTCCGTTTCAGGTCATCTCCTGACTTCTTAGAAAGACCTAACATGAGGTCTAAAACAACGATATATGCTTTCAAATGAAAAAATAAATAAAAAATAAAAAATTTAAATTCAAATATTATTAAAATGTAAAATACAATAATAATAATAATAATAATAATTTAAAAAATACTTGCAAAATTACGGGTGCTACAAAGAGGGTTATTGCCATGCACTATATCAGGATATCTCCTGATTTCTGAGACTGGAAAGACCTATTATGAGCTCTTAAACAATGATACGGGCTTTTTAAAAAAAAATAATAATAATAATAAAAATAATAATAAATAAAATAAATAAAAATACTTCAAGAACCAACTGTGCTAAAAAGGTGGTTAATATCATGCCTCTATTTTTGGTTATGTCCTGAACTGCTGACATTAAATGAAATTGAAGTAAAAGCCAAAAAACCACTTGTCAAAATATTAACCAATTTGGATCTGTCAGGATGTATTGACATCTAATTGAATGATCATTGGATAAGCATTAACCTCTGAGGTTAAACCAGCCTCTGTAATGCATCACACATCACGGGGTATTAGCTTAATTCAATTATGATCTTCTGCTTGACTATTGAGTTAAACCAAAATAACATTATGTTTCAATTGAAGTCAAACGTAATAAAAAGAAGAGCATGACATTTACATGACTCATAAGGACACAATATGGCTAAAAATGCCCTACGTAGCTACATCTGCTACCTGGCTGTTTTCTAGAACATGCAGCTGTGCGTCATGAGAAAAATAGATCTTTGTGACAGTTTTGTTGGAATATATCTCCCTGTGTTTGAGTAATAGACAGTAAATTACATCTTGGCTTTTCAGAGGAGACTTTGATTCCGCAGGAAGGAAGCCAAAAGTCTCTCATTGAGACTGTGAACACTTCATTGTCCCCTGACATGTGTTCTACATACTCAGCAACTTGGAACGGTTCTTAAGACTCCATCTGCTTCAAGAAAAGAGACAATACACAGTTGATAGAGCATACATTGCAGTCTCTACTTATTCTTTTTTTTCTGGCTGTAGTGCACAGAAATCTGAATCCTAATGAAATGCATTTTTTATGTTTTACATCACCACCACAAAATAAATTATTCTGGTATGGCGAGTAGATCAACGACCAACAATGCTAGCAATGTTAACATGCAGGCACTAACAAGACAGCCACAAAGCTACACAGTCTCTGTTCATATCAAGATTGAATATCTGTTGGGAACACCACTTGTGACAGCATTCCAGATTAGTTTTGCATCAGAATCAGACTTCCAGAAAGAAACTACATAAAACCATCTCTATCTACCCATTTCAGCCATTGTTTAGCAGTTGCTAGCTATCATGTTCTGCCTTCCTGATTGAGAAACACAAAATTTAAGAAAATCAGAGCCTGCATGTACATGAGGAAGTCTGCTTGAGCACTTGTCTGCCTTCGCTCCGTCTAAATCCCATCTTCCATCACCCTCTCAGAGCAAAATCTACACAATGAAAGGGAAAAGGCTGTGCAACGAAAAGGTGCTAGCTTTGAAGGCGGCACATAATGGAAGGAGCAGATTTCCATCAATACTAGGATTGTTTTGGGGAGGAAGTAGAAACTGAAGTCAAAATACTGGATCCAATTTAAGTGATAATACACAATTAGCAGTGTACATTCTTATCCACTTAATTTGTATATAGACAAACCAAAAACTAAATAAAAAGTGACAAAAGCACACAACAAATTCAATCAAGTATAATCTTTTTGTGACCACCCCCATCAACTGGTCAGTGAGACTTACCCTGTCTATCAAACTCTATGCTGCTGCATTGTGATTGGCTGAGGCTCCATGGACAGTAGAAGACTGATCCTCCTTCTCTGATGTTGGGCTGGCTGGTGTTGGCTTTGGGTGCTCCAACTATAATACTCACACTGTTCAAACAAAAAAAAAAAGATGAAGGAAGCTGTTAGCATACTAATAAGACAATGAGGAATATTTATAAGAGAGCAGGACAAGTACAACAGTGTTCCGATTCACAAAAAGTCTACTGGAAGCTTTGTTAAAGAGTTTGGATTTGAACATCAGAGCTGCAAAGCAACATCTATCCTTCTATGTTGAAGACGACAGATGAGAAAACAGTGTTGGGAAGACGTTTTGAAACAGTTGCATGTTGAGTTACAATCAAAATGAGATTTAAACTGAAGCAAACAAAACATTGAAAACATTTTGTTATGCTACATTGTTACGCTTACTGGAAAGCTATACACTACTAAATAAAGGTAGTTACATTAGTAGAATTGTTACTTTTAGTTTCAATTTCCTAGAATTCAAAAGCTTGATATTAGCCTTATTTTGAATTTTATTACGATTTAAATATAATAAAGACCAGCAGACAACGTATGATCTTTGAGGAAATGGACTGTCTCATAATCAACCATACAGAGCTGAATTATGTAACAGTGTGGCCATGTGCAACGGTTAGTAACTTGGTTGGCAACATGTGACCGCCAACACACAACCACACACACACACCAGGCCCACTGGGTAATAAGTCAATGAGAAAACAAGAGCTGAGACTGCTGTTTTTCCCCCTGGGTTATCACAAACACATCCAAATGTTTAAACGCATACAGACAAGCATAGCCACGTATTTAAAAGCATGATCTCCAAGTATTCACATGTCAAAACTTCACAAGCCAAACAAACTCCTCAACAGAGAGGAATAAACAATTGTGGTTGGACAGGATGAGAGAAAGAAGCAGGGACAGTTGTTTAAAACTGCATTTTCACATTCTCTGAAGAAAATGTGAGTGCCAGAACGTTGCTATGTGGTTTCTAAGGTGCTCTGATTGGTGTTTAGCATGTCGCTGTGTGGTTGCTAGGTGGCTTCTTACAGGCTCAAGTCAAAACTCTCTGTATGATATTCTGGTCTCTAAATATGGCTTGATTACCTCTTTTTATGTACACAGTCAAATGTTTTGGTTTTTTGATGATTAAAATGATTTTGTTGTTGTTGTTGTTTTTTGAAGAAATTAATACTTTTATTCATCAAGGACACATTAAATGAATCAAGAGACAGAAATCTTGTGTTAAATTATATATGTTGTTACTATTTCAAATAAATGCTGTTCTTTTGAACTTTATTCACAGAATTCTAAATAATTGATCATGGATTCCACAAAAATATTAAGCACGGCCGTTTTCATATTCAAAATATGTTTCTTCAGCACCAAATCAGCATATTAGAATGATTTCTGAAGCATCATGTGATGATTCACTGAAATAAAAAATTTTATACTTCATAATATTACTGTATTTTATGGAATCTCGTATCCCCGACTGAATAATATCTAAAAAGTTAATTGCCACATTTAACTTACAATTCTGACTTTTTTCTAAGAACTGTGATATGTAAGCTCGCAACTGTGAGATCTATAGTCAAATTTGTGTGGCAATCTCACAACTGCGAGAAAAAAAAGTCAGTTTATCTTTCAAATCTGACATTGTAACTCGCAATTGAGAGTTCACATCTTGCAGTTCTGAGAGAGAAAAAAAACGGAATTGTGAAGATTTTTTTTAAATCTTACCGACCCTAAACTTTTGAACAGTAGTGTAAATCTACAGGATTTTTTTTCCTGTTTTATCATCTGTCAGGAGAAAATTATAAGAATGATAATTTAGAAAAGTAATAGCATATTGTTTCTTGAGATTTGACATTCGAAACAAGCTCTCTGAAAAGTACCCAACAGTTAGACGGCCAATTCCACAGTCCCTGCTCTTCTAATCTGCGTCTAATTTTCCAAGAGCCGGCATGGATTGGTGCAGTGCCGCCATGACCTCATTGTCTGTAAACTTACTATCATCTTTCCTGTCATTAAGGCTGGTCCATTGAGAGACAGGGGATGGGGGTGTGGAGGTGTTTGTAAGAGGGCACAGGAAGAGAACACCCTTTCCTGCCCCCTGGGCTGGTCTCAGTGACGCGTAACAGAGGGCATCCTTACAAAGGCTGAATTCAGCAAACCCTTCGGTCAGCCATGGAAACTCAAGCACACTTTAGATGGACTGCAGAGATAGAGTCCTATAGGTAGTGCCAGATGACCACTTGAATTGAAAAAAGCAGAGCAAGCAGAAGACAGATCATTGACCTCATCCTAAATGAGAGGGCTGGATTTTCTCAGCTGTTATTTACAAAAAACAGTGTGTCTGGAGGCAAAGAATTGAAAAGTTGAGAACTTCAAAGTTTATAGCTTAAGGACCATCCTGTACTATGGAAATACATGGCATTTTGTGGCCACGAAGTCAAAAAAATACCATTAAAAGATGATAATGATTTTGATACTTGAAATAAAGCTAAAATAAATCAATAAATCTATATTGGATGTAAAGAAAACATGCTACTTTAAAAAAAACTGAAAATTATAAATATTGCATTTAGGTTAAAATACTAAAATTAAACAACTAATCCTGAAATAAAAATTACCAAAAGCTACATTAATAAATTAATAAATGACAAAAGAACATAATAAATTCCTTAAACTTTAACTAAAAATATAAAAATGAAAGCCAATTCATCATATTTGGAAACTAACTTTCATTGATTTGGGGTTTTTTCCTGTCTTTGCTAAGTTTTTACTATGCCTTGGAAGTCACGCAACACATTTTATTGTACAATGACAATAAAGGAATTGAATAATTTAAAAGGACAGTTTCCAAATCCTACACTGGGAGGAATGCCAGACAAAAAGGAAAAGGCCTGAACAATAGATCAATGGATAAATAGGGAGGACATTAAACGTGGAAATGTTTGTTGGGGTCACCAAATTTTAAGGCCACAACAAGTGGAGCACAACCCACACACACACAGACAAAAAATAAAAAAAATAAAAAATAAGAGCAGGCGCTCCATTTGTTTTGAAAAGGGGGGAACCAAAACAAAGCCTTTTTCCGGCTTGGACAGAGTATCCCATTTTTCCACCATATGCGTGTATGGACAGACGGAGTGTCCCAGAGGTGTTATAGAACCCCAGTTTAGGTGTAATGTCAATCCCAGATTCCTTTGATGGCTTTCTCCTGGGAATAAGGGCATCAAAATTCCCACTCAGCGATAACACCTACAGATAATGTCTGAAACTAAAATGTGAACAGGCTGGTCCACCTCATTTGAACCCCAGCACACTATGAATGAACTCAAGTGCACTAGTCTGATGAAATGTCATGTTGCTATGATGCATGTGAAATGCGTCTAACAGCTGCAAATTCACTAGCTTTCCCAAGCACTTTCACTCTTCTGCTCGAGTTCCTGGAATGCTGTACACTTCCACTACTGCTTTGGCTGACTGCTCACAAGTGTACAATTACAGTGCAGCTACAATCATTGCACTTCTGTTATGATCAATTACACAAATTTAGTCTCATTACAGTTGAGTTTTATCTTGAAAGCCACTGGAAGTTTCCACATAATGCAAAACCAGGTTATGTTTTAAAGATTCCAAGTAAATGTTTCAAATATTCATTCATTCAAATTAAAAAATTACACAACAAGGTTTCTGTTTAAGTAAATAAGACCTAAATGTACATTCAAATGTGCCGCTTTGATGCAAAATTATAATATACAAAACTCACCATCAAACATATTTAACAGGAAACTTAGAAACACAGAATTGCTTTTATCAACAAGTGGAAATAACTGACTTCCGCCTAACACTCAACAAACAGTCTAAATCGTGCCATTTTGATAACGATCTGAAAGAACTGTAACTAAGAAACAATTAGCATATAATGGGGGTTTATCTTAAGAGGGGATCTCATTGCTTTTAAATGTCCTTCTTTTCTCCACTAAATGCTTAAATGTTGGGCTAGCATTAGCATAATGATAAGAACCAGATTGCTCTTGTCTTAGATGCTAGCTTTTGTAACGGCTCCACATAAAATGAGAAAGACTTCAGGAGGCCTTCAGGCAGAGGGAATGCCAAAGTGAAGCTTACTTTAATTAAAACAATCTGGCCTTGTAAGAGAACAACAGAATGTTGTTTAAATTTTGCTATATGGAGAACACATTTTGCTTTAACTATTATTAGCATCTGTAAGTAGTTGTTGATCAGAATTATTGTTAAGGGCAGAGGTCATTGCCTTTGGAAGATGGATTTTTCAACAGTGGGCCTTCATTTGCTTACACTCATGTCTTCCTAAATCTGTATGACTGACTTCCTTCCTTCTGCGGAAGACAACAAATATATATTTTGAAACTTTTCAGTTTGCTTTTTGTCCGTACAATGAAAATCAATAGAGTCTGGTTTTGTTTTGGACCCCATTCACTTTCATTGTATAAAAAAAAAAAAAAACTGAAGCATTCTTCACAATCATTCAGACGCAAAGCACCAAAGAATCATTCACAACAAAACCAGGAATATACATCGATCAGGCATAACATTAACACTTTTGCTGCCAAAACAGCCCTGACCCGTTGAAGCATGGACTCCACTAGACCCCTGTATCTGGCACCAACTTGTTAGCAGCAGATCCTTTAAGTCCTGTAAGTTGCGAGGTGGGGTCTCCATGGATCGGACTTGTTTGTTCAGCACATCCCACAGATGCTCGATTGGATTGAGATCTGGGGAATTCGGAGGTGGAAGATGGATTTTTCAACAGTGGGCCTTGATTTGCTTACACTCATGTCTTCCTAAATCTGTATGACTTACTTCCTTCCTTCTGCGGAAGACAACAAATATATATTTTGAAACTTTTCAGTTTGCTTTTTGTCCGTACAATGAAAATCAATAGAGTCTGGTTTTGTTTTGGACCACATTCACTTTCATTGTATAAAAAAAAAAAAAAACTGAAGCATTCTTCACAATCATTCAGACGCAAAGCACCAAAGAATCATTCACAACAAAACCAGGAATATACATCGATCAGGCATAACATTAACACT